GTTAATTATAGAGTATACTCAGTTGTGTGTATAATGTACAAAAAAAAAAAAAAAAAAAAAAAAGAGCAAACACGCGCCATACGAGCATTCGACGGCGAAAACGTGTGCGCATGAAATTTCAAATGATATGCAAAATATGATGAAAACCGTATGAATATACTAAAAAAAACAAGCTCCCTTTTTGTTGCACTGTTTTACCATAGTCCCAGCAGCAAAAGTAGGTGCCGATGAACTCACTAGATGGCGCCACCAGACTCACCAGATTGGTAATCGATTTTCCGTAGAATTTCAGAGTTTACGCGGTTTTCATTAATTTGCACTTTAAAACTGAAATATTGATTAAATCGACGTTGGTGGAACGTCTGCTTGTAATCTGTATTAAAATAAGGAATGGAAGACTGGCAATCAGGCATTAATACACACGTAATGTGTGCAAGTACTTATTTACATTGTACTTACGTCTACTTGCGTATGCATATATCAGATGAGAAAGTTTTAGATTTCTTCATCAGTTCTTTTTGAATTAATTAATTTGGTTTTCGTTCTAATTTTGATTGTCAATTGCTTGACGCAGTGTTATCTTTATTTCATTCGAACCGTTATGCTCATCGTCCAGAACGAGCACAACATTCGTTGTTAATGCTTTATTGCAAAAATCAAGCGGATAAATAGATACCAGACGCAAACATGGGACTTATTCGATGGTTGTAGCCACCTACAAAGACGAGTTCGTAATTCCCACGCAATTAAAATGCAATTTCTGGGCTATCAACAACAATTTTCCCAAAGCTATAGCTTTTACTTTGAGGAAACAACATTAATTTACTAAGGAACGACACTCCTTTTCCGGGATTGATCGAGAGATAAGAATTACGTTCTCCGTTTCGAACAGAAAGTACTTTCATCCACGAAAGAGGTTAGGTTGATCTTTCGCGATCGTTCGACGACTCGTCTACTTTTTCCTTCGTTCTCATTGTTTTATCACGTATCAAACGTGTTTCATTGCGATTCCCGGTTTTTCTTTAACCACTGTTCGATGGATCTTGCTGGTGTCTGGAAACTGTCGCTGAAAAGAGAGCGGCGAACGAGGCAACTTGGCTCCGACGCCGTACTCCTGGAGGGGAGATAGTCGAGGTAGAGATAGATAGAGAGAGAGAGAGGAGAGGGAGAGGGAGAGAGTGGGGCGTCGCGACGCCAGGCGTCGCTGGCGTCGAACCGGCGCGGCAGCATATCATTGAGTCGAACGTGTCGTGTACGGTCGCTATCGTCACCGTGATCGTCGTCGTCGTCATCGTCACGGTTTTTCACCGAGCAGATTTCCAGAAAGAACGCCCGAAAGAGCCGAGAACATCCGGGGCCGTTACCCTGCGCCGAATTCGGCGCGAACCGTTCCCTCCGTGAAGTTTGTTCCCCCCCCCCCCGACTTTCGCTCTCACGGAGTTTTTTTCCCCCCCCCCCCCGTCGATCGAATCAACGCCCGAGCTCTTCTCTTCCTCGGCCGTGGAAACGGTCGTGGAAAACGATCGCGGCGAGTAGGAAGTGTGCACGCAGAGCTACGCGTCGTCTGGTCGGCTGGTGAAACGAGCGAGGTTCGAGGAACGAGGGTTTCGTGCACGGCCATGCCCGGGACGGAAAGGCCAGCGTTTCGCGAGTGCAAGCCAAAGAAAAGGTGAAGAAGGGACGAAGGCCGAGCCAGGGAGAGGAGGACGCGAGCAGACCGAGGGAGGACCGAAGGAGAGAGGGAGAGAGAGAGAGAGAGAGAAGAAAGAGGAACCCGGAAGAGAAAAGCACCCCGATTCTGGAGTATCGTTCACGATACGACGATAGAGCCAGCGGAATTGCGTTGATCCGTTTGAGAAGATCATCGAGATCATCGAGAAGATTCGTAAGGGTGCGAGCTGGACGATAACCGTAGTATGAGAGAAGAGCGGCACGCAGCGAGAAGGTAAGGTATTCGATTGATTTGTCGTCGATGTAGACGACGCCTTTTTTCTCTCTCTCTCTCTCTCTCTCTTGCATCTAGTTCTGATCCATCGTCGAATGTGTACGCTAGTAGATATCTAATCGCATCGGGTAAGAATCGACTCTACCGATCTACTGTTTCTCGGGTTCCATCTCGTCTGTAGTAGCGAGTTTCTCTCTAGGATAAGACCGGAGGATCCATCCGATCACTGTGTATGCCGTGAATACGATCGACGAGGGTTGGAAAAAGCTCTCTGGGAACAGTAAAGAGGGAATTGGGAGGGGAGGGTGCAGGAGGCGGTGGTGGCGGCAGAGAAGGGGAGGGGAGGAAGGGAGTGAAGGAGGTGGTGGCAGAGACGAGTTGGCGAAGGAGCAGCGCGCGCGCACCCTCTCTATAGAGAGAGAGAGTGTGTGTGTGCGTGAGAGAACGCGTAACTAAGTAGGTGCATCGTCGAATAATACCCGCAGCTTGTGAACAAGTATTGCGTTCGTCCGATTCTGCGTTTAGTGGAAAGACGTAAGACGGTGTGAGGGTGTAGAAACGTATGTATATAGACAGGCGGAGATGTATTACATGTATATATGCATATATTTGCGTATTACATATAAATATAATCGAACGCACCCAGATATCTATTTATAAGTTTAAACACAGGGCGAGAGAGGAAGGAGTGGTGGTGGTGGTGGTGGTGGTGGTGGTGGTGGTGGTGGTTACACACTCGACTCACATTGGTAGATATACGAGGTGTGCGTGTCGAGCAGATTTATCGGTAGTGGTGTTCCCCGCTGGTGATGCCACGATGATGCTGCTACCACTGGTTGTAGTGGCGATGATCCTAGCGATCCTAGTGGCAGCAGTAGCGGTGGTGTGCCAGAGGGCAACGTAACACGCGCGAGGCGTCGAGAGGCTCTCCTCTTAACCGCTTTCGATGCAAACGACAATTAGGACCGACTGAGTACTCGGTACACGACCAGAAGGTTACCGTGGGGTTGCCCCATCAAGATCGTCGAAAGTGGTTTTTTTTCTCTCGCCGTGTCGTGTGACGAGTACGAGTAATGTAAAGCGGCAGTAGACGAAGAGAAACGAAGAGAAACAATCGTCGAAGAGCAAGGAAGGTGGGAAGGAGAGGATAAGTTTGTGTGGTGGCCGCGAGTGCGTCAACGCGGATATGACGACCGGTTACGCCCGGCTCACCTGATACGCGTCACGATCGCTCCAATCCGATACCACTCTCTTGGAAGATATGTGGTAAGTCATCGGATGAAAATCGATCCTCTTCGGCAAGTCCATTGCCTCCGAACGAGTCGCGACGGCTCTAGAAGCACGTGCAAGTGTTCGAGAATCGTATCGTTTCAAATCTGCTGTCTTCTTCGAGTTCACACAGCAAACACAGATTCGATCGAGAGTCGTTTGAACGAAAGGGTTGTACGATGCGTTCGATTCATTCGTAAACAAACGAGGAACGCAGCTTGAGTCCGATCGACAACGATCGATGCCCGAGAGTCTATTCTCTCTCAAATCACCACGTCGTCCAACGGCAGAACGAGTAGGAGATCAATAAAAAAAAAAAAAAAGAAGAAAAAATTCATAAAAGCTTGGCGAAATGTCTGTTATTAATTAGAAAAAGCTCCACTTTGTGTAAAGGCTCGTAGGACAAAATACCTAAATGCCATTAAAAGGCCAACGTGGTTCTCCCCTTTGGTACCTCCGCCCCAAGTACCACCGTTAACGATCTTTTTCCATTCTCCCTT